CATTGCTGGCAATGGAAAAAAAAGTCGCGATATGTCACGTGACGTTGTGAGTTTGACACCTCTGCTCTATAGTAACAAAAAACCTGCTGTTTTTAAGTATTGTACTTTGCAAACTATTGTGTTTGTAAGTACACTACTTTGCAAAGATAAAGTTTGTTTGCATTTTCCTTGAAACTGCTTGTAGAAATGCTAGCCAGCCTTCTATAACGCTGTGTTCCCTTCCTTGCTTTTATTTTGGAGATTAATGTATATTATTGTAGTTTGTAGGTTTTAAATTTAAGTTGCCTCCAGAAGCTGTGGAGGCCCCATCACTGGAAGCTTTTAAGAAGAGACTGGATAGGCATTTATCAGAAATACTCTGTTGTGAGAGCAGAGTAGACTAAATGACCTCAAGGTCCTTTCCATCTCTGTTACTGTTGCAAGCCGAGAGTTCTGCAAATCCCTCCCCCATCTCCCTCTGAGTCCCTGGCTGGAGACTCTTAAGCTAATTAGTGACAAGGTTTTTTTTTTAAGCAACTGCCCAACTCTCCCCCCCCCCCCCCCCCCCCCCCCCCCCCCCCCCCCCCCCCGGGCAACTGAAGACACTTGAGCTGACTAGCAGCAGTTGTTTTTTTAAACAAATAACTGCAATGGCTGTGAGCCTTGCTTGGAGGCAATTTATTTCCTGAGCCAGGCACCGGAAACAGCTGATGGGCAGCCAGCGAAAAAGCCTCTCAGTTCAATAAACATGGCAGGGATCAATTAATAAATCAGAGGAAATAGTAAATCAGATCATACATTTAACAGTCCATTTGAATCAATTAATGAATTAGATTTTAAAAATTTGTAAAATTGAGTCTGATTCATTTGACTATTTTTTTTACTTACGAGCCTAATGGGCAGGCTCCATTAGGTTCGTACCTCAAGGACTACCTGTAATCCCAGAGTTCAGTCCAAGAATCTAAACTCAAGCACATTAAACAAATGGCCATCTGGCCTTCACTTTAACACTTATAATTGGGGGGGGGGAGGGCAATGGTTCCACAATTACTGTTTTTATAAAGAACTCAGTTAGAATCTATACCCTACCAACTTTAGTTCATTACTTTATATCCTATAGCCTAGAAAAAGAGAGATCTTTATATCCTATAGCCTGGAAAAAGAGAGACCTATGGATGTATTCTCAAGTCTATCTTCAGAATGGTATATGAAGGCCCCTTAAGTTCCCTCTGCCCCCTAGAAGGCAGAGAATTTCTGTTTTTATACATTGTATATCCTGTGTTGTATTTTTATTTACATTATGTAAAAAAAAGTTCTGCATTCCCCCTTAGTTTTCTTTTGTCAAGGTTAAAAATACCAGCTCTTTTCATCCTTTATAGGCCTTAATTTATGGTCCCTTGATAATATTCACTGGTCTTTTCTAAGCCTGTTCCAATTCCTCTGAATACTCCATAAAAGCACCCAAAACTCAACATAATAGACAGAGTGGTTCTGACTGAAGTAGAATAGATTAGAATAACTCTATAGAATAGAGAATAATACTTCTCATAGTTTGGAATATATACTTCGACTGATGCAGCCTAAAATCACATTTTATTTTATTTTATTGCAACCACATCACAATTCTGGTTCACATTCTATTTACAATCAACTATTATTATAAGATCTATTTACATATACCAGTTGAGCATTTGTACAACTACATGTATAAATTTAACAACAAAATCACAATTCTTTAATTCTTATATTTATAAAACTCCAGGCAGTGTTCTTGGTAGTTTCTTTTTATTTTAAAATGATTCTTAATGGTTTTTATATGTTTGTACATTAGTCTTAGTTTTATTGGAATGTTGTTTCTACCTGTTGTGAGCTGCCCAGAGTCGTTTAATAAGATGGGTGACATATGAATTGAATTAATAATAATAACTACAACAACAACAATAACAACAGTGTTATGTAGCTTGTTTTACACTGCCTTCTTCCAGGATATTTTTTAATTTCCATAGCCTTGGGATTTCCTGATGGTGTGCCATTTTAGTAGTAGCAGATCCAATTCTGCTTAGTTTTTTGAGACTAGCTTTAAACAGTTTGAAAAACATCTAACATCTATCTCTAGAAACCAGGTAAAAATTCAGAGTCTGTCAGCTTTTTTTGCAAGGACTAAAGGCAAGGTCAGCAAAGGTACACAAATCTGTTGTCCACGAAGCATCTGAGCAATAGGAATAAACCCAGGAACGAAAATTGAAAAGAAAACAAACAAGAAAGAATCATTTTCCTTTCCATCTCTGAGCTGACAATGTAAACATGTTCCTTTTCCAAGTGTCACCTTTGGCTGAAATGAGTGATTGGCTTCAAAATTGCATTAAAAAAACCTGGCATGGCTATTTTGACCTGAAAAGCTATATCCCATGCAGAGGCTGGCAGGGAAACATTCAGGCAGCTTAGAACATTTTCACTATGATGTCATATTATGGATGGTTTAAACAGAGAGACTGAAAGACACTATTGTCTTGGACAGCTAAAAGATTATGGTAGAGTCCCAGTTAATGCTATTCCTTTCTATCTCATCCAGAATAGTCATCTACTAATGCTATTTTACATCAATACAATTCATATTTTTAACTATTTATCTGGAAGAGGATGTGTTCAGACAAATTTGTGATCTGCATAAGCCGTACTGTATGTTTATTGAAGGGCATGTTACCTCACATACACGCTACAGTCATGTGTTTATTTTTGTGATAGTGACATTTCGGGAAAGATGAGCAAAGAATGCCAGAGGTGTATGTCAAGAGTATATCATTTCAGCAGGGTCACTCAAGGTGTAAAGATAATCCCAGCTGCCCCGATAAAGTAAGCAGTCACCTATATTGGGCAGCGGCATTATGGGAAGATGCTGGAAATAGATACAAAATCATCATTTCACACTGTGTAGGAGAGAGCTACTTTACCCAGAAAACCACATGAATAGAAGATATAAAATAATAGAGAGCATAGAATGAGATGATTGGCTTCTCAACTGGACATTCAACAGGCTACTGAAGAAGAGCTGAAGAACTTTTAGAGTACAAAGGATGTTTATGTCATGACAACATGAAAGCTTTGGGACATCCAGTTGCCATGTAGTGAAAGAAAAACTGAAGCTGCAAAGACACAATTCTGGTGGGAAAATGGAGATGAGGTGCTGGTTTCAAAAAAGGGTTGGACTACTTCGTGGTAACCACGGAGATCAGTGGCTATTAGCTTTGATGGTAGTGTGACTACTTTTGAAGGCCATTTGCTGGGAGATTCATGGATTTCCTTGTGCAGTTGTTTGACCACAGTGAAAACAGACTGTTGGACTAGCTAGACTAGAGGTGTGATCTAGGGTGATATGCTTATATAGTTAAGAAGCATGTATACAGAAAAGCTTAACACAATGAAAGATTAAATAAACCAATTACAGTTTGGCATTTTAGTTATCAGTGAATTCAAATGGACTGGAATTGAACACTTTTGAATCAGAAGACCGTACACCATTAAAGATATGAAAAATAAGGAAGGTACAGTGTTTTTATCATCAGGAATTATCCTGGAAGGACAGCACTTAAGTACAATGTACTCAATGACCAAATAATGGGCTTTGCTAGGGGTTTTATATGGGGTATTTTAGAGCAGGCGTTTTATTCAATATTTATTGTGATTTTTATTATTGCCTGTTCACCGCCCTGAGTCCCGTAAGGGAGATAGGGCGGTATATAAATTTAAATAATAAATAAATAAATAAATATCAATTAGATTTTGCAGACAACCATTGAATAGGACAGTTGTTCAAGTTTATATTCCAACCATTGATGGAAAATAAGAGGAGGTTAGCCAGATTTATGGTAAAGTTTAATTTTAAATAGAATATACAAGCTGTTGGTTGAAAATTGGAATGCCTAAAACATTACAGAGGAAAACATAACTGAGCTGTATGGTCATTCCTGAAATGAAGCAAGAATATTTCTTATCAAATCCTGCCAATCAAATGATTTCTTCAAAGCTAACATAGTCTTCAAGCAACTATAAACATAATCTTCATCAGCTAGTATATAGAGAAGAAAAAGTGGCTAAATTATTGGTACAAGATAGAAATTCTCAGTGATAATAGCGAAGATATGGCTATATTGTTGAACAGATCAGAACTGTGCAAGTTCTAAGTCAAGCTACAGCAGCAGAAGAAAGCCAACCAGTTTCCATAGTACTGTAAGAGGTTAACGGCATACTACCATTTTCAAGAAGAATATCAGGAATTGCTTTGTAATTCTAAATCTCATTGATAGGGAACCAGAAGAAGTGAGGAATGAAGCCGAAGATACCCTCTACTTTCAAAAATGTTTAGTATTAGATGAAATTAGAGCAGCAATCCAACTGAACACTGAGGAGAGGTTTGTAAGCTTCTGATTTGCCTTTTGATTAACTACAGTTTTGCCTTTCATTCAGAGCAACAAACTGTGGATAATGTTGGCTATAAGTCATTTGAAACAAGATAAATATTCTGGATAACTTATATGTCCAATGATATAGGAAAGAGGTAGCCCCTGACTCCATCCACTGCTGTAGCTTCTCTTACTTCTCTTACTTCACTAAGTATGGCAAGTCCAGTCATACCTATACTGGAACCATTCATAACGTAACCAGGGCTGCAGAGTAACAATTGTGAGAATAATACCACCAAACATTCTAGTCAAATCTATCTGCATAATACAGAACAGAATAATAACATTAGTGTCAATTCAAGAATGTACAAGAGAAAGGAGTAAACTATATGCCTTTGTACACTGCATTGATTTCTAATTGGGACTAATGAGGATGCACTAAAAAAAAATAACTGCTTTCAAATTATTCTCTTTGTTTTGGACTATCCGTTCAGGTCAATGTTTTTTGCGTTCTTTGAATGATGACGAAAGGTATTCAAAAATAAATCAGTAGCAATATGTTTCCCTAGTGCTTTTCTTTTAAGACAGTTTGAAATATATCCGACCCATAAATTTTCTTACCCTTCTGTTCTATACACTGAGCATCTTTCCAGGGGGATTTTTAGCACTCCGTTATTTAAACCAACAAACAACGATCTGCCACTGTGCAATATTTGGAGACTTTGGATTGGCTCCTTTTGGCTGGCAGGAAGAATCTGCATTTCCTCTAAATAACAACTCCTCAGGCTCTTATTAGTAGAAGACAGTGCCTTCAAAATGGTGCCATGCTCTAGCAAAATGAGAAACACAACACAATCAAGGTGTTAATTTGTTTTAGCATCCAGTACAGAGATATTCACTAGATTCCATTTACAGATAGTTCTTGACTTACAACCATTTGTTCGGTGATCACTCAAAGATACAACGGTATTGAAAAAAGTGACTTACAATCTTCTTCACACTTAAGACTATCACAGAATTCCCCCCAATTGTGTGCACTTGGCAACCGGCATGTGTTTATGATGGTTGCAGAGTTCTGGGATCACGTGACTGCCATTTGAGACCTTCCCAGCTGGTTTCTGATAAGTCAAGGGGGAGGGGGGTAAACTGATTTCACTTAACAACCACGTGGTTCACTTAACTAGAGAAGTGATTTGCTTAACAACTGTGACAAAAACGTTCATAAAATTGGGTATGACTCACTTAACAACCACCTTGCTTAGCAACAGCAATTCTGGTCCCAATTGCAGTCACACATTGAGGACTGCCTGTATACACCTGTTTCTCCAACCCTGCTTCATTGTAATTGCTTGCTTCTCTTTTTAAATGTACTAATACAAATACAGGTTAAAAATGTAATTTTAATTCTTTGGAAATAATATAGCATTACTGAATTTCCTAACAATTGATATCCTTTATAAGCATAATATGGCCTAAACGAGGGGTAGGCAACCTTGACTCTTTTATGACTTGTGGACTTCAACTCCCAGAATTCCTGAGCCAGTCATGCTAGCTCAGGAATTCTGGGAGTTGAAGTCCACGAGTCATAAAAGAGCCAAGGTTGCCTACCCCTGGCCTAAATACATATCATAGATAAAGGAGAAGCATTTTGAACAAATCAATAGAAACGAAAAGTTGTTACTCCCCAAGGCAGATAAGGATAAGACTACCAACTATTGGATGCATCTATATTTATCAGACTTCCTTTACTGCAAGCTAGCATAAATGTATCCTGTAGAACTCACACAAAGCTGTATTAGTATGTTCTCAATTTGGTTTAGTCTGAAGTTCTAATATACTAACATTGGAAATACAATTACAAACTCAAAAGCAGCACTGTACATGATTTCCACCTGAAAATTAGGACAGACTAAACACAATTGCTTTTTTACATGGCCCAGTGGCCAACCATGTGTTATGACTGATAGAAAGTCTATATACGGTATAGGTTTAAATTATAGCAGACCTCTGAGCTGACTCTTAATACGGCTATGACATTAGTCTTGGATGGACAATCAGGACTCAGCAGATTTGAACATTATGTATCAAAAAAAATTGTAATGTTATTTGCAGCTACTCTTCTGCTGAACTCAACTCATTTAACTTAGATCAACATCTAAAATGGGACATGGTGTAGAGAAGAGACTTAGTCAAAACAGAGATAGGGCATTGCAGTGTTTCTGATTGGATTTAGAGAATGTACTTCAGAGCTCAGCCAAGCACAAGCACCTGTATGCAACACCTCAAAACAACCAACTTTTTCCTGGGATAGCCCAGCACTACAGTATGTGGATTGAGCAGCCATGTTGAGGCTATATAT